GTGGAACCAACAACATTCTAGGACAATAATCTCTCCCTCTCCTAACAGGGAAGCCCGATGAGGGGCACCCAGCTGACATAGGTACTGTGTTGCCAGGTAGAAGGCTGGCATGCCATAGGACAAGAGGACAAATAACAAAATTGTGGGAGGAAGAAGGGCATGTTTGAACGGGAGAGGCAGGTCTTCAATGGATTATCAGAATGAGATAAAGGAATATTGGGAGCTGTAGGCAGAGTCAAACAGAATAAGACACAGAGGAAGCAAAGATAAAGAATAGCCAAAGTGGACAAATGAGACGTGATTTGACACATTCCACAGGCTAGAAGTCACTGTCCTGTGGTGGGTTTTAATATCTTCTAGTACATGTTTTACATGGATATGGTTTGAGTCCTGTTTAAGGGAATCTGGAATAGACGAGATGACTTCCTAGGAGACAAACAGTGGAATCGAAGGATTCCAAGAGGCCTGTGAGCCAGTGCTAAAGGAGGTTAAGAGCCATTTCAGAGAGGAAGTAGAGGCCAACGGCAGGCAGTTCACATACTTCTCTGTTATACCTCTTTGACTTCTTTTGGTCTGGCTTCAGAAGAGGTAGTGCTCCTCCTCGAAAGCCACTCACCCCATCCTCTCCTCCTTCCTTTGTGACTTTGTTCCATTTCTTATTTTTCTCACATTTTCAATATTTCCCTTTTAGTCTATACATGTTCTTAAGTCTCTTAAAACAGAAACAAACCCAAAAGCTACCCCCCAACCCTCATTTCTTCTTGGCCATTCCCCTCTCCTTTCTTTTGCGTTCAAACTTTTGGGCAGGTGAATGTTCCTCTCCCGTCTATTCCCTTAGTTCCTACTCACCCCACAACAGTTTGTACTCCCTTGATTCTCCAGAAAGTTCTCTTACCAAGGTCACTGATGACTACATTAATTGCCAAATATGACTGACACTGTAGTATCTCTCTGGACTGACCCCTCTACAGCATGTGACAGTGTTGAGAGTTTTCTTCTCTAACCTCCTCTGTCCCCTTAAAATTCCACGGTCTGTTTCTATTTTGATTTTCTGGCTAGCCCTGATTTTTGCTTTTCAGCTGAATTCACTGGGGCCTCTTTTTATACTTGCCCATAACAAGTTAATATTTCCTGGAGTTCTAGGCTCTACTCTGTTTTTCTCCTTCCTCTCCGACTTGCCCCTAAGTAATCTGATCCATTTTCATGCCACTTTATGTACTGGCAATACATCTGTTTCTAGTTTCGGCTTCCAATATCCATTTCCAAGTCTGAGTCTCCAATTTCCCTGGGCATTACCTCTGGTGCACAGCACCACCTAAGTATGTTTATCGAGGTGGTGTAATTCAGGGATTAACTACACAGGCTGAAAATTCAGACCACCTCGATTTCAATCTCAATGCAGTCACTTACTAAGCTTGAGCAAGGTGTTTAATCTCTGTACTCCCATGTGCAAAAGATAGATAATTAACAGTATCTGTTTCTTAATGGTAGAAAATATGAGAAAATGCATGTAAAGTAGCATCTAGCAGTAGTTCACTGTGTTAGCTTATTACTAATTCCTATCTTGTTTGGGACTCTACTCAAGCAAGCCAGAAAGTTCTGAGTCATCTTTTTCATCTTTCATCTCCTCCCATATCCACTGAATCATTAATACCTGACCTTATCTCTTAAATTGTCTCAAATCAGCCTTCACTGTTCTCCATCCTCTGATCTCATTGCCCTGCTTTAGCTCAGGTCCTCATCACTTGTCAGCAGGACTACTGATAACCTATTCGATGTCTCTACCTCCAACCTGCACCTCCTCCAATCCATCCTCTATAACTGCAGTGAGAGTTATTTTCCTAAAACACAAATCTAACCATTTTACTTGCTAACATCATTTTCAGTGCCCCCTCCCATTTCCAACCGCAGAGTTTCTGAGTGTGAGCATCAGAATCACCCTGTGGAGTTTGCAAGGGAAGGTTCTGACACACCACTCCAAACCTACTTCATCAAGATCTCTGAGACCTGGAAATCTGCATTTTTCAATTGGATGATGCGTATATACCCAAAGCCCTTCATGACCCATTTCTTATTTTCCTCTATCACCTGCCATTGCCTACTTTGTACCTTAAACCTCCAGCAATACTGGATTGCATGTAGTCCCCCAAATCCACCAAGCTATTTTACATTGCTCTGCTTTTGCAAGGGTAGCTGAGGTCTTCTGAACTACCCTTTACCTCCTTGCCTCCCTGGCACACTCCTTTTCATTATTTTTAAAAAATTTTATTAATTTTAATTGTTGTTCAAGTACAGTTTTCTGTCTTTTACTCCCATTCCAGCCCACCCCCCCCATGCTCCCCACCTCCCTCCCATTTCCACCCGTTAGTTTTTGTCCATTTGTCCTCTATACTTGTTCCTGCAAACCCTTCCCCTTTTCATTCTTTGAAGTCTTCATCATAATTTCCTGACTGATAAATCTTACTTAACTTCTCTACAGCTCAGTTTCTCAACCATTTTTTCATTATTGCTCCCCCACCCAAGAAGCCTGAAGATTCCTTTTCCTAATTGAGCCACTCATGGAATTTTAATATCACAGATATACTACACATTTGTTTCTATTACAGTGGCCCTTTGGGGAAGGATCATAAACCATGTAACATCTAACCAATCCAGCTCTCAGAAAAAGTCAGTTTTTGCTCCCTTGGGGGCAATACTGGCCCCACTGAGAATGCATGCCCTGCAGTGGCAGATGCTGCCAGTGGCAGATGCTGCCAGATGCTTCCAAACGGGTCCTGAGGTTCACTTTGGTTTCTGTGCTAAGTCTTGACTGATTCTTCCTCTCTCTCTCTCTGTCTCTCTCTGTCTCTCTCTCTCTGACTATTCCTTTGCAATATTCCTTTGTAGGCCTTTCTTCTTTCACCTGCTCTATAAATACTGGCATTCCACAAGGCTCAGGACTTGTTTCTATTTTCCTATGTTATTCTATACATGCTTTCCAGGTGATTTTACCTATTTCCTTAGTTTTAAATGACCACCTGTCATGCTATTGACTCCCAAGCCTGTGTTTTCAGTGAAGATGATTCTCCTGGGCTCTAGCCTCTTGCCAGTTCAAATATAGCCCACAGACGGGCAGCATCTAGTGTCACCTGGGAATTTTTTAGAAAATGCAGATTTTTGCCCTGGCCAGGTGGCTCAGTTGGTTGGAGCATCATCCCATACATCAAAAGATTGTGGGTTTAATCCCTGCTTGGGGTGCATATGGGAAGTCAGTGATGTTTCTCTCTCTCTCCCTCTCTCTCTCAAACCAATAAAAATGCAGATTTTTAGGTTCTATCCCAGACCTCCTGAACCAGAATCTGCATTTTAACAAGATCCCAGGTATTGCATATGTACATTAAAGGTTGAGAGCCTTGGGCTGGACCCTACTGCCAGCTCTCCAATAGACATCTTTAATTAGATGTTCCGTAAGGACATCAGTTCTTATTCCTCACTCTTCTCGGTTAATAGTAACACAATTTACTCAGTCATCTATACAAGAAACCTAGATCACTCCTTCCTTATCATTTATACCAAATTTGTTACCATTCTTACCTATTCCAGGTATTGATGGCTCTTGAATTTATTCCCTTTCCTGTGTTCATCACTGCTTTCACCTAACAGATTTCTGTCAACATACCCCCCCACCAAAATTTATTTGCCAACTATTCCTAAAATGCAAATGATCATGTTACCTCCCCCTGGCTGAAAATTCCTTCAATGATTCTTCACTGTCTAAAGCCAAGGTTTTTAACCAGGGATCCACACATGGACTTTAGCAGATCCTTAAACTTTCTGAAATTATAAGGAAACATTTGTGTATATACATTTTTCTAAGGACAGTATACAAAGCTTTCATTAGATTTTCGGAATCATCCTTGAGCAAAATAGGTCAAGAACCACTGACCTGAAGGACCAAGTCCAAGCAATGTAGCTTGGCATACAAGCACACTTCACACTTCTCCCACCTTACCTCCAGCCACTTGCCTGTAGGAGCTCTTGTCCCAGCTTTAATTACAGACTTACAAGTTTCCTCAGCTTTCACACCTCTGTGCCTCCATACATGCTGTTCCTGGGATAATCCCAGGCTTAACTATATAACATTAAGTGGTGCAGCCTAGCTTTGCACTCAGGTCTTACTTTAAAGTTAGTCATTCCACTCTACAGTGGCTTGACATGTACATCATAACCTAGTACATACAAATACATACACTGGAACAAGTCTCATGAAATACACCTTGATATCAAAAAAATGCTGATTGCAGTCCACTAAATTGATATATTGTTCCACTAATGAGTTGCAACCCTTAGTTTGAAAACCACTGCACTAGGCCTTTGCTGATACAGGGAGTTCTCCTTACCAAGAATTAATTATCTTAGCCCCAGCAGTACTAAGGTTTTGAGGTTTCCTAGGGATACAAAGCTGTCATAACATAAAGCATTTGCTAATGAACTGCCAACTTGTATCAGTCCCCATTCAAACAACCTACTCCTTTAATCTGTATCACTTATCCCCATTTGTCTATTTTTTCAATCACTTTGTTTCTCATGCATTGTCAGATACATCAGCAAGTAATTGGGTGCATATCTATCACAAAGTGAAATTACAAATCTTATAAAAAGATGCAGGATATCATGGAGTCAGCAGACAGAACTGATAACAAGGATCTGGTACACCAGGTTACAACTGAAGAGGAGAAAAATAAATAAGGATAATGATTTTAAAAGTGATTCAAAAGAGTGATTTAAATACCAAGTAATTAAGAACCCTCAGGAAAAATGATGAAGCCCTTGAATATTTTGGAAAAATCAACCCTCTAAATGATCATGCTCCAACTCTCCCATGAACTGAAACGTACCATCTTGAAAAATCATGCAATTTTGTTAGAAAAATTAAGCCGCAAACAAAAACAATCAATTCTTGATACATGGTTTGTTGTAGCATTCAAATTTATGAAAAGAGACTAAATAAACACATTTAATAGCTTATAGTTATTCAAGTTAGCATACTATCAAGCTCTATCCCCTCCATTACTTTAAAATTTTAGTCCTCCCCCTTTTAAAGATTTTTTATTTGTTTTAGACAGAGGGGAAAGGAGGGAGAAAGAGAGGAAGAGAAATGTCATTGTGTAGTTGCCTCTTGTATGCCCCCTACTCGGGACCTGGTCCACAACCCAGGCATGTATCCTGACCAGGAATCAAACTGGCAACCCTTTGGTTTGCAGGCTGGTGATCAACCCACTGAGCCACACCAGACAGGGCTAGTTCCTCTTTTAAATGGATTCACTAAGAGGCCTTTTTGTCCGGTACCAACTGTCCTCAAATAATAGACCTCTTCATTTCCATATCACCTAGCATACAGCAGGAGCATAATAAGTGTTTATTAAATGAATAATTACAATAGCCTTTAGTCTCAGTTCCTTTTGATTCAATTAGCACATTGCCACGCATGCTAAAATTCCCCAATGATGTAGCTCAGTGGATTGAGCTCGGGCCTGCGAACCAGACAATCGAGGTTCGATTCCCAGTCAGGGCACATGCCTGGGTTGCCGGCTGGTTCCCTGCAGGCCAGTTCCCAGCAGGGGATGCGCAAAGGGCAACCATACATTGATGTTTCTCTCCCTTTCTCCTTTCCTTCCCCTCTAAAGATAAATACATAAATTAAAAAAATAAAATAAAATAAAATTCCCCAATAAACCCCCACTAGCCTCAGGGGGGAAAATCCATCTCCTCAGCATGATTTACAAAACCTTTATAATCTGTTTTGCTCTATTTTTTTTTAATGTTCAGGCCACATTTGAACTTGTAGTTCTTCAAATGCCCCATAATTTCCTCCCGCCATGCTTTTATTATTTCCTCTGCTTGGAATTGTTCATCACCACCACTGGGAAGAGAGACTCTTTCTCCCTGTTCTGTACAACCCACTACTTTGTGCATAACTAGCACACACTGACCATATTGTGTCTGTATTGTAGTTGCTTCACAACTTGTTCCAAGCAGTTTATTATAAAAAGTTTATTGATAAAAGTAATATAATCACATTTAGAGAATATATAGAAAAAGTAGGGGAAACAGGAAAATGGTACATGTATATGTATGTGTGTGAGTGTATATACATACACATATACATGTATCCTCCTAGAGTCACTGGTATCATTTTGTTGTACAGTTTGACCTTCCAACATGGATTTGAACTGCACCAGTCCACTTATACATGAATTTTTTTCAGTTTGAACCTGTGTTGTTCAAAGTTCAACTCTGTGGTTGGGCATCCACAGATGCAGAGGACCCACTGTACTTAATAATGTGCTGTTTGGATGGTGCAGGAGATATGCACTTCAACTTCTGTCTTTTTTTTTTTTACAACTCTCCCAATTTAGTTCATTTATTAATTTTTTTATTTTAATTGTTGTTCAAGAAACCTCTGTCTTGATCAGAGGTCAACTGCTTTTCCTTCTAAGATTTTTTTCACATGCATATATTTTTACATGACTCTCATCAAAGTGATACTTTGATGTATGATACTTAAACAAAGTCAGTATTATATGATATGCATTTTTTCTTGTTATGCAGTTGCCCTAACCACCATTTTTAATGGTTATATATTAACCCAACAAATAGATATGTTGTAGTATACTACTACTACCTAGCCATTCTGCTGCTGAATATTTAGGTCTCCCTTCCTTTTTTGGCTTTTTTTAAGTGAGAGAGAATTTACCATCTTCATATATACAGCTTTTCCATATTTTGGATTGGTTTATTTCCTTAGAATAGATTATCAAGAGTAATAGATGTTATAAGATAAAGATCTTTCTTCCTTTGGCTCAAATTTGGTAGGAGGAAAGTATATACATGTATATATGATGTTTCAATTTCACTTCCTTTAATTACTAGTAATACTAAGTATTCGTTCATGTTTGTTTACTATTTATTTCCTCTTGTAAATTGCCTGTTCATGTCTCCTGCCCATTTATCTGCATATTAGTGTTCTTAAAAAGCAATTAGAATAAACATTTTAACCCCTTGTTATATTTTCTGTAACTATTTTTTACCTCTTTTTATTTTGGTAGAATTTCAGCTGCAAAAGTAATAAAATCTCATCACAGAAAATTTGAAAACTAGAAAAACACATATAAAAAATCATCAATAATTCTGCCACCCTAACATAACTATTAACATAATCATTCTTTCTAGTTTTTTTCCCATAGGTATGTGTTTTACAAAGTTGTAATCACAGTGTGCATACAATTTTATTTCTTTTTCTTGATTTTTAAAAAGATTGTATTTACTTTATTTTATTTTTTTAGAGCGGGGAAGGAAAGGAGAAAGAGGAGAGAAACATCAATGTGTGGTTGCCTCTTGTGTGCCCCCTATTGGGGACCTGGCCTGCAACCCAAGTATGTGCCCTGAACTAGGGACCTGGCCTGCAACCCAAGTATGTGCCCTGACTGAGAATCGAACTGGTGGTCCTTTGGTTCCCAGGCTGGCACTCAATCCACTGAACCACACCAAGCAGGGCTGCATACAATTTTAAAACCTGCTTTATCATTAGCACATAAGTATTTTGCTGAAATGCCATAGAGTCTTCATAATCATCATTTAAAATAAAAGCATAGTATAATATTCAATGGAAAGGATTCGCCATTTCCTTATTGCTAGACATTCGTGTTACTTTTTTTGAAATAAATAACAGATAAACATCTTCATACAAATAGTTTTTTTCTATAATTTTAATAATTTTCTTAGGAAACATTTTCAGGAGTAGGCTTACTACATAAGAGGGCATTAATACATGCTGGCTTCCAAATTGCTTTCTTAAGGGTTGAACCAAACCACACTACTACTAGCAAACTGAGTGTCATTTTAAAAAATTCTGTTAAATACAGGCTTAAACAGTGGCTACCTGGTTGTTTTAATTTACATTTCTTTGATTAGTAGTGATGAACACTGCCCCGTGTTTTCCAGTTGTACTTAAACTCCTCTGTAAGTTTTCTATTCATGTTCTTTGCCCATATTTCTTCCTATATATCATACTATATAAATACTTTAGAAAATACAAAACTCTCACACTTCACCATATTTGTGTCAAATATGCCTTTTCAGTATGTGTTTAGATTTTATTTTTAAAATGGTCACAATAATTTTAAGTTACTTTGGTTTAAATTTTTTTTTAAGATTGTATTTATTTATTTTTAGAGAGAGGGGAAAGGCGGGAGAAAGAGGGAGAGACACATCAATGTCTGGTTGCCTCTTGCACTCTTCCCACTAGGGACCTGGCCCATAGCCCAGGAATGTACCCTGACCGGGAATAGAACCCGTGACCCTTTGGTTTGCAGGCTGGAACTCAACCACTGAGCCACACCAGCTAGGGCTGGTTTTAAAATTTTTATATAAGTCAAATAGTTGATCTTATCCTTTATGCGGGGTTTTTTTTTTTTTTTTTTTGCATTCTTTCTTAAAGCTTAGAAAACTATTCCCCTCCAGAGGCTTGATAAATATTCATTCCTCCTAGTTCCTTAAAATTTGCTTTTTTATATTTAACTCTTCAATCCAGCTGCCACTTATTTTAGTTTATTACAGGAGATGAGAGTATAAATGCTACAAGCTGTCACAACATCATTTACTGAACAATCCTTTCCACTCCCATTCACTTGCAACACATGCTTTATAATAGATTGAATTCTCATATATAATTGTCTCTTTGGGGAATTTACGATATCACCTGTCATACCTTATACCCATGGTACCAGTGTTTTCATTTTTCTAGTTTTGTACATTTAATATATAAAAGCATTAGTCCCTCATTAATCTTTTGCAAAAATTTTCTTTGAAAATAACTCTTCTTTAGCTTTCAAATGTAATTATTTGCTGTCTTGCCCCTATGATATGAATTTGTTGAGTGCAGAATTGGTTTATTTCATTAGAATGGATTGCTAAGAATAATATTACTGGGTTAAGAGGTAGGAACATTTTCCCCAATTTTAACTCTTATTTCTAGAGTTTTTAAAAAGTCAGTAAATGAATGGATCAAAAAATTGTGGTACATATGCACAATGGAATTCTATGCAGCAGAGAGAAAGAAGGAGCTACTACCCTTTGCAACAACATGGATGGAACTGGAAAGCATTATGCTGAGTGAAATAGGCCAGGCATTGAAGGACAAATACCATATGATCTCACCTTTAACAGGAAGCTAAATAACAAAATAAACAAGCAAATAGAATAAAAACAAAGACACTAAAATAGAGTTTTTAAAAAGTCAATTGAATGGATGATGCTTAAACAAAGTCAATATTATATGATATGCATTTTTTCTTGTTATGTAGTTGCCCTAACCACCATTTTTAATGGTTATATAATAATCCAACAAATAGATATATTGACTGTCATACAGTCAATTTCACTAGAATCCTGCTAGGATATTTTGAAGATATTTTCCCCAAAATTATTAGGTGAAAAAATATACCACATTTCAATTTATATACCTCTAGCTTACTAGTGATGATAAACATATGCATGACATATAGTATATTCATAATTAACACATGCTAAATGAATAAAAGGCATGTATGAATCTATACATGTATCACGGGAGGGGGAAATACTGTGGTTACAATACATAAATGCTAGTTAGATGTCAATTTGTGGGCTAAATGGCTGCAGTCCACCTGCAGAGAGGTGCTAGAAGTATCAAAAACACTGTGAATTGGGGCAATCCCAAGAAACTCCTTGTCAGTCTTATTTTTACCACAGGTATGTCTGTTTTGTAGTACGATCAGCTGAAAGCTGTCTGGAATAGTTACAACAATGGTGTGTGGGTATGCCCACACCTATACACAACACAGAAGCAGCCATAATTGGCTTAAGATACAGACTGCATTTCTTTTGGCAGTGAAACAGTGATAAGAAGTATCAGGTATCTGAGTGTCCCATTCAAAACTGACCCAGGCCGTAGTAGGCTTACATACATAAGCCCTTCACTATACCACTTTTGCATTTTTGTTTTTGTTCTAGAATCATGGTGCCTAGCACTGTGCTATATGGTGTAGTTCCAATAAAATGGTGATCTTTCTTGCTTATGTTTTCCATCTTCAGTATTGAGGAATCAATTTCTGATGTAGCATTAAGTTATTCTAAAAAATTAGAAGCATTAAACTACACTAAAAATAAGTAAATACATAAACTCTTCCAAGTGCCAAATTCAAACTAGATCTGACTCACAGGACCAAGCATTTCCCATGAAACCACACTATTATTCTCAACGGGCTAAGCACGAGGGGGGCAGAGAAGTCTTTGGTTCAGGGAAAGTTGGTCTTTTCCCCTTTAACTGTAGCTTGAAGGAAAGGTCTTTTTTTTTTTTCTCCTTGGAATTGCTGAAATATTTTTTAATAGAGCAGAAACTAACAAAAGGCAGGTTGTTTCTCTTTGTTTTTAAGGACATAGAAGACTTATTGCTAAACACTGGTTCTCTTTCCTTCATCACCTCAGTAGATTTTAGTAGTAAACTTTCTCAAGGCCTTCCTTGGTTATGAAATCTGTCGATTTGAAGAAAAGAATTCCATGTTATTACCTTAACCCGCATATGCTGAAATTGTGCATAACATTTTATTCTGAGAAAAACAAAGTGCTGTTTTCTCCAGACTGAAGGACACTGGAGAGTAGCAAGGCCATGAGCCATAGAGTATGAACAACTGGTGTGTCCAATGATACATTAGGACATTTATTAATTCAGATCTTAGAAATTCTTCTCCAAGATGTATTAAGTACTACAGACATATCAGGCAAGATGCCAAGTGCTGAATAAGGCCCAGCAGTCCTTGTCAGATACAGAATAGAGCTGTCTGATATATTAACACAAAAAACACTTGCTTTTCCTTTAACACCAAGTAGCAGCACCTAAGAATGGCTGTTGCATGAACCATTTGTTCTTAAAGGCACACCTACCTCTCACAGCATAAGCCTCCTTTTTGATCCTTCAGCCTTTTGTTCTAAATCTACTGTCATTAATTGTTCATCTATTTGAAAATCTGGTTATCACTTCTTTCAGGACCTAGTTCTACAATGCATCTTTTCGGAGATTCCCATGATTAATTTCTCCCTGTTGCTAAATCTCTTCAGCTTATATATATATTCAGTTGGTACTCAAACTGATGTTGCTCCCTGATTATTCTAGTTTTTTAAATATTTCTATAATATAAATCCCTAGAAGACAGGGATTTCCAGAACCATGGAAAGGAATTTTGAGATTATATCCTTTGCCCTGCACATTTTCCTGATGAAGAAACTGAGACCCAAAGCAGTTAATCTGCCTTAGTCAGTTAGCAAAGGTTGCAGAAAAAGCCCAGGGTCCTAACTTTCAATAGTTAGCTTTCCACTATATTATGCGTCATCTTCTGTTTCATTTGCATCTTTTCAGAATGCCTAGTAAAGTGCTAATATATGCACAAGTCTCTCAATACATACCAATATAGTAAGCATAAGAGTACATAACTGAGGAACTGAGTCAAGGAAAAAGGCCAAAAGGCAGAAAGGTCATTTTCTTACTTTTTTGCATGGTGCCACCCTCCGGACCAGTTAATTGCTACTTTGCACATTCCATCAATCAGGCATTGGGCAGCTGTGATTGTTGCCCCTCCCACAGCTGCTGCATAGTCAAATATCCCTTCGGTGGCTGGGCAGTCATAACCTTTGGGCAAACATCAAAAGAACTTGTTAAAAGATGAGTTGGAGAAATAGGAAATGTGATACTGTGATTTATAATAAATACATATCTGCTCTTTGTGCCCATTTATGGCACAGAGCTCCTAAAACTCTTGGAATTTCCTAAGTGATGAGAGCATAAAGTTGTCTTTGTTATATTAAGGAGATGACAAGAGGACCACACCTAAGTACCAGTGCTAGTTACCAGTGGAACAGTGTTTTTAGAGAGTTGGAACTTTTAGTCTTACTCCTTGACCTTTAGTGAGAGGAGAGGAGCTGGAGATTTAGTTCAATCACCAACTGGTCAATGATTTAATCAACCATGCCTATGTAATAAAGTCTCCATAAAAACTCTATAAGAGAAGGTTCAGAAAGCTTCCAGGTTGATGAACACATGGAGGTTTGGGGAGAGTGATATGCTTGAAGAGAGCATGAAATTCTGCATCCTTTCCCCATACCTTTCTCTGTGCATTTATCCCACCTGGCTGTTCCTTTTCCAGTTGACTCTTGAACAACACAGGGGTTTGGGGGGCCAACCATCCTGTGTAGTTGAATATTCATGTATTAACTTCTGACTCCCCCAAAACGAAATTACCAATGAACTACTATTGACCAGAAACCTTGTCAGTAACATAGTCAATTAATGCACACTTTGTGCATATATGTACAGTCTTCTTTCAATAAAATAAGCTAGAGAAAAGCTTATTGAGAAAATCATAAGAGAAAAAAACATTTTACCATATTTACTGAAAAACATCCACATAGAAGTGGACCTGTGCAGTTTAAACCTGTGTTGTTTAAGGGTCAACTGTATAATTAATGGGTAATCTAGAGAGTAAATGGGTTTCCTGAGTTCTGTGAGCCATTTTAGCAAGTTAATCAAATCAAGGAGGGGCTCAGAAGTACAAGGTAACAACCTGGGCCTGGGACTGGCATCTGAAGTACACAGCAGTCTTGAGGGACTAGACTAAGCCCTTCATATGGAATCTGATGCCATCTCGAGGTAGATAGTGTCAGAATTGAGTTGCATTGTAGGACACCCAGCTGGTGTCATGAGCATTGATTGGTGGTGTGGGGGTAACTGGGTCCAGAACCCTATTAGGGGGAATAGGTTAAAAATATGACAACATACCCTTCCCAAAAGCTACTACGCTAAAATCAGCTCCAAACAAGAGATAAACATCTCCAGTGTTGGGGAAAACATTCTTTAAAGTGTTGAGCTAGAAAGACTAAACCTTCCAGATTACCTACTCACATCCTACAGATGGAAAAACTGAGGTCTGAGAGCTGGTATGTCTTATCTGTGGTGGCACAGAGCCAGGCCTGGGACACAGGTTTCTTGCCCCACTCCCAGTCCAGTTCTTCTAAATCATGATGTTTCTCTAAATTATCCTGTTGGCCACTTCCAATTTTTTAAATGAAGCTGTTTAATGAAAGATAAAGTAGAAAACCTATCCAGAACATATGTGTAAATCTCTACTCAAGTTAAACTATACGGTAACAGGACAGTTAAACCACCACACATACAGCCAGGCCCGATCTGGGCACATTGCTATTGCAACTGAAAGATTTTTCTCCACCTAATCCATTTCTGCTCAATTCGTATGATTTAAGTACTTATTAAGTGAGATGTATGTGGCTAAACTGAGAGATTAAGAATGTGGTTAACACATTACCACATATTTCAGACTATAAGATACACTTTTTTCCCCACTCCCCAATTTGGAAGGAATAATGGTTGTTAATCCTGCTGCTGAGTTCTGTTTACACTTATATTGGTGACATATTATATTATTTATGTTATTAAATATTTTACCATGTTTTGCTTCAAAATTTTTTCCTCCTCTAAAACCTAAGTGTGTCCTATGGTTCAAAAAATACAGTAGTTCTTAATTAAAAAGTATTAAAGACAACCATGCAAGTTATAAAAGATAAAGTAGTTATGACCTATAGATGGAGGTGTGTATCCCCCACCATTGGTCAGGAATGACTTTACCTAGCCCATATTCTATGGAGTCTGGATGATCGTCATCTCCTTCTTGGCTGACCTTCTGGAGATGTTGCAGATAGGCATCAGTGTGGAAGGTGGCCATCTCCTCCATGGAGGCCACTTTGGGCTTAACTATTCTAATGATAACAGAGAACAAAGAGGAATGAGTGACTCAGACCCAGGGTATGTCAGAAGCTAGACACAGGAACCAGTAATTCAAGCAGAAAATACAACTCCTAGCTTCTGGTTCCAGTGACTTAAGTAATAAACATGTTCTGTTCTTCCACTGCAGTATATATCCTTCAGTTCTTCACATCTATGTAACAGTTCCATTAATGGGGGTGAGGGGATAGATTTTCCCCTTGAGTTTATAGGTAGTAAAAGTATATTTAAGTTAAATAAGCAGGTATTGGACAAACATTGTTGCTCTGTGAGTTACAACTTTCATGACAAACCAGTAGGCTGAGATATTTTGATATGAATCACTTCCTAATTGGGCCACATAATCCTTTCAACTACATTTGTATTTTCACAGGCAGCTGTATTATTATGAACTTTGAATTTGGAGTCAGAGAACTATATTCCTGTCCTAACTCTGTACTTACCAGCTCTATAACCTCAGGTAAAAAGTCTCCTCATCTGTAAAGTGGGGACATCTTATGGGACGTATGTAAAGATTAAATGATAACATATAAAAATGCTTTATGGATATTTATCATTAATAATATTGCAGGATAGCCCTGGCTGGTGTGGCTCGGTGGATTGAGCGCTGGCCTACAAACCAAAACGTCACTGGTTCCATGCTCAGTCAGGGCACACGCCTGGGTTGTGGGCCAGGTCCCTGGTTAGGGGGTATGAGAGGCAGCCAATCGCAGTTTCTCTCACACATCGATGTTGCCCATTCTCTCTTTCTCCTTCCCTTCCCCCTGTCTCTAAAAAAATACATAAAATCTTTAAAGAAAGAATCAGAAAGGCAACCCAAAACATAAAAGTTTCTGTTTGGTCCCTCACATCTGCCTTTGAGAGGAAGGGCAAAGAGTTGGAGCTGGGTTTTTCACAAGAAGTGACAAACAGGAGTGACTGAGAATGCAGGGTGCTAACAACAGGAGTTACCACCTCTAACTTCTGGCTGCCTATTTATTCCCCATTTTCTCTTCCTAACTGCTGCTACTGCTCTCTAGCCCTAGCCAATCAAAAGATGGTCTGCCGACTGACAGAGGCATCACCTGAGAGCCTGTTAGAAAGGGAAACTTCAGACCTATTGAATCAAAATGTATTTTTTCACAAGGTAATTCATATGCATATTCGAATTAGAGAAGCAATGACCTAGGCCCTCCTCACCCCGAGGAAACAGTAGTGTTATTTTATGTTTACTAATTGGAAACAGGGCCAAGAGTTTCTCCTCAATTAGCATGACTTTTCAGGATACTACCAGCAACAAAGAGGCCAGCTTGAGAGGCTCAGCCTCAAAATTTAAATATGTATAACCAAGATCAGAGGACTTGATTCTTGCTCCTTCTTCAAGAAAACATGCCTACATCATCAACGGTGATTAAATCTGCCCATTAAAATATTTTTTCTTCTTGAACCATGTTTCCCAGTCCTAATAGCTCCCTCTTCTTGTAACCCTCTTTCTTATTTACCAAATACTTACTGAAAGCCTCCCTACTTAACAAGCAAGGAAATTTGACAAGTTTTTAAACAAATTTTTATTGATTTTTTTAGAGAGAGAGAAACATCAATTTGTTGTTCCATCTATTTATGCATTCATTGGTTGACTCTTGTATGTGCCCATGACCAGGGATCAAACCACAGCCTTGGCTCTAACAACTGAGCTACCTGACCAGGGCTAGTTTTGTTTTGTTTTGCTTTCTTGTTTGTCTTAAAGTCAGTTTTTGAAATGTTAAGTGAATTTAATAGAAGGCATGTAGTTTTTATGTTTATCAAATATATGAGTTAAAAATTATTGAAAAACATTCCTAAAGAAGGTACTCAATATATAATTGTTAATAATAAGGATAAAATTTGAAAGCCTATTATGGTACCTGTGGGAGAGAAATGAAGCACTAGCAGGTGTAAACAGACATATATTTGGCGGGAAAATGTCATAAATAAACATACAAGTGTCAGGGCTATAATATTTAGTCTTAAAATGACAAACAGCAAATTCATTGTTTTAAAAAGAAGTACTTAGCTCTCTGTGCCTGGACACAGTTTTCTTTGTTTCTGACTTGTCTCCAGGCTCCCTCATTAAAGTTTGGTGGTGGTGATGGGGTGTCTAAAAGTCTTAAGTAGAACCCACATCATCAGATCTGGCTTAAGGCAGGAAAGAACTCATACCAAAACTCCTCCTAGCTGAACACTTTTTTTTTGTACCCTAATGTACTCATCTCAAAATCTCCAAAAAGCATGTATCCCTAGGATACTTTCCCTGTCTGCAGTAAAGTCCTATTTCAAAAGGCTCTTAAGTGCTTCATGCACTCCCTTCAGGTTTTCTTAATTCTTCAAGAGCTTTCATTAGGTTACTGGCAAATTACAAACCTTGTGAACTACAGAAAGCTTTCAAAGAAGGACCACTCCCTAATTAGTCCCATGGTGAAGCAGGATATTAAGGGTAGGAACACCTGGGTTTGGGGCTTTGTTCCTGAAAGATAACTTACCTCATTTGCTTATGTAGCGCATATGCTTCGATTAAAGAATGTACCATACTGGCCTAAAAACATCAGCGGGGGAAAGAAAGTAGAAAATAGTCTCTTAATGTTTAATTCAGAGAAATTGCATTGACTTCATCATCTTAAACAAAGGAACGAACTTTTAGCCCTCCTCCCTTCGTTGTACTTAACAGTCATAATGTACTTTAGACAATATAGATAAAGTATCTAAATCGTTAAAGCGAAAGTTGCCGGGCCTGAGGGAGGATTGGGACCACTTTCTCCTGTCGTTTCTTCTCTACTTCAGTAATCCCTTGTATTAGAGACGCCTTCCGTTAGTGCCCTACCCTCCTCTCCAGCCAGCCCCCACCTACGTCCGTTCCGCGCCCCGCTGATAAACGAGGAGCTCCGAGAAACTGTAAGTGAACACTTCCTCCATCACCTCGTACAGCTGCCCAAATTACTGCTGAAGATTTTCCCCAATCCAGTGTCTTCTTCGCTTCCTAATGTTCTCTTGTCCACCCACCCCGCCCCCACCGCAAAAGCCCACGGTCTTTCATGCCAACCTCTCTTACCCGTTTGGGCACTTTGGCCAGGGAATCACACATGCTGACATACTCGGGACTGTAGATGTAAACCGGGGGCAGCGAAAGCCCACCGTCCGCAGGTTCCTCAGGCTCCTTCATCCTCCACTTCCAGCCGTTCCGAAGCCAACGTCCGGATGCGGCTTTTTTAGTACTCAGCCCGGGCTCCGGTTCCTGCTCCTCTAATCGGCCGCAGCGGTGCTCCCTGGTCAACATTCCCTCCTGTTCTTGAGATCGCCAGAGTCACTGTTCTCGATCCCCAACCAATTGAAGGAGTGCATGGGTCTTCCCAGTCCACAACCCCTTCATTTAGTGATCACAGCTCAAAAACGGGAGGTCTGCAGATATTAAATCACTGATAACTGTCAATTAGAATTGATGTTTTATGGCACATGGAAGCACTGTCAAAACTAACCATCCTTGTTGCCCTACGGGGCCATTTGAGATGAGGTCAGACCAGCTTCAGAGCATGCTGGGAGATGTAGTTCCAAGTGGTTTGAGTAGCGGAAGAACCCAGGCTACTTACTAAAAAGAGCCACAAATTTGAGTTTTAGCGCCAAAAAAAAAAAAAACAGCCTCAACTCCTTATGAATTGTTTCAGTCTGAAAATACACTCACATAAATAAAGATAGACACAACGTGGCCACCAACAGCATCACCCAGCTATATCTGACTTTTTGGGGTGGAGGGTAAATTAATGTTAAAAAGGTTTGACAAGTTTACACCGTAAATTCTGTGCCTCTGTGCCTCATTGCTTTTCATCACCTATCCATATTCATGTAAGAGTTAACAATCTCAATAATTTATCCTGGCAAAGCTGATACCACTTTCCCAACAGGCTGGCTGGTACTCTGGAAATTGCTTGGTAGATTCCAATGATGTCAAATTACTCCTTGAAAATTTGTGTGGACTAAAAGTGTAAGATACTTTCAGTGATGTTTGGAGACTACAGATTATCTCTCCTCCCTTTGCTTTCGCACACGTTGAAAGACTAGGGAAATATTTTAGGTTTCATGTGAGGGTTCACATTAGAAAATATTCTGAAGCAGTTTTAGAATTACTAGCAGTATTTCCAAGTTCCTAGGAGTCCCTATGTACTGATACAAGCTGACCAATGCTGAAGCACCCAACTCTCACATGAACCTGACTGACCTACTATATCACCCCTAAGATAACCCAATATCCTTACCTTCTTCAAAATCTACCTTGCTGTCCTGGTCGGGTAACTTATTTGGTTAGAGCATTGTCCAGGGCATATACAAGAATCAACCAATGGATGCACAAAAAAGTGGAACAACAGCCCTCGCTGCTGTGGCTCAGTGGATTGAGTGCTGAGCTGTAAACCAAAAGGACTGACAGTTGGATTCCCAGTCAGGACACATGCCTGGGTCGCAGGCTGGGTCCCCACTGGGGGGCGCGTGAGAGGCAACCATGCTCTGATGTTTCTCTCCCGCTCTCCTTCCCTTCCTCTCCGTCTAAAAATTAAATAAATACATTCGTTTTAAAAATAGTATAAAGGACATGAGGACAACAGCTAAGGGGGTGGAAATGGGAGGGCGGTGGGGAGCACGGGGGGTGGGCTGGGATGGGAGTAAAAGACAGAAAACTGTACTTGAAAAATAATTAAATAAAAAAGAAATGTCTAAAAAAAGTGGTACAACAAATTGATGTTTCTCTCTCCAAAAATAAATAAATAAAATTTAAAACTGCCTACCTTGTGGGGTCAGGGTTTGACCACCTGAGAGGGTTTGCAGATCCTGAAAAACCCCCGGGCATCACCTCTTCTCATCTCAAGATGGATAATGAGGAGCGCCAGGCCTGTGCCATCATCTGCTTCCTGCATGATCAGCTGAAGCATGGGGGGGGGGGCTCTCATCCGATGCCCAGGAGAGCTTGGAGTTTGCAATCCAGTGCCTGGAGACCATTTCAGGGGTGACAATGGACGACAGCAACCTCACACTTCCTCCAACTATCAGGGAATTTGCATTCTTGTAGAGATGAGACAAATACACAAAATCCATGTACAACACAGGGTCAGATAATGAGTGTAGGGTGCTTAAATTACTTAATACATAAGCACCAAATACTCATCACTGGTACTTAAATGGCAAATGGGATTCTTATTCAGTGGTATTTGAGGGGGTCTTAGCGGATGGACTGGATTTTACTCGGTGGAGATGGGAACCAGGGGAGGACATGCAGACTGGAATCACCAGCATATGCAAAAATAAGAAAAGAAGAATATTTCTAGTTTGTTTTAGATGAAGGGGCTGGGTCATGAAGGGTTTTGAATGCCAGGCTAAAGAGAACAGACTGGGACATGGGGGAACATTTAAACATGAATTTTAAAAAAATTCTACAGCAGTGGTGTGTAGGAAAGGTGAGCTATTGAAAGACTAGCAGCAGGGAGAGTGCCACAATGGTCCAGATGAGAAGTAATGATGACTTAAACTAGGGTAGGAGCAATGGAAATAGAGAGGAAGAACCACCACATAGGGTAGGTTCAATAGGACTTCCTAACTATTTGGATATTGGTGAGAGAGAAGGAGATGCAAGAGAATCACTGAAAATTCTTAAATTTAAAGTCTAGGTTAAGAGGAGGCTAGTAGTATCAATATAAGAGGAAAACAGCCCTGGCTCATGTGCCTCAGTGGGTTGAGTGCCAGCCTGCAAACCAAAGGGTTACTGGTTCGATTCCCAGCCACAGCACATGCCTGGGTTGTGGGCCAGGTTCCCAGTAGGGGGCATGTGAGAGGCAACCACACATTGAGGTTTCTCTCCCTTTCTTTCCCTCTCCCTTCTCTCTCTAAAAAAATAAATAAATAAAAATAGGGACTTCTGCCAAGATTGAGGCATAGGTGGAGACGCCATGCTTTCTCACACAACCAAGTTTAGAGACAATAAAATATTGGCAACAGAAAACACAGTCAGAACACAAAAAATTGAACTTTTCGGAAGTCGGATAACAACGAATTCTTCAGCCTGACCAGTAAGAGGGGTGAAGCCAGCAGCTGGCGGAGCGGGTTCGCACAAGAAAACTCCGTCAGACGGACTCAGGTGCATGGATTCCAGGCGTGGGGTTGCAAAGGGCGGACCCAGTGAGCGACCGGCAGGGCGGTGGGTTGACTGTGGTCACGCATTCCTGTGCAGATAGACCAGAGAGGGAGTGGGCAGTGAGACTGGACAAGCAGGCCCCAGCGGTGGGAGGCAGCAGAGGGGGACGTCATTTCCCCGCTCTGAGCCCACCCCCATATACAGCGTCACAACCCAGCGACCCCGCCCCTAACGCTCCGCTCCTCATATTTAACCGGCGCAAACAGACCAAAAATGGCTCAAGAAGATCTCAAAGCCCCAGAGCCCATAACTCTAAGCAACGAAGAAATAGCAAAACTTTCAGATGCACAGTTCAAAACACTGGTGATCAGGATGCTCACAGAACTGGTTGATTTTAGTCACAAATTAGAGCAACATATGAAGGCTAAACTAATTGAAATGAAGGGAATTGCGCAGGAAACCAATAGTGATGAAAAGGAAACTGGGACTCAAATCAAGGGAGTGAACCAGAAGGAAGGAAAAAATGACCAAACAGGAAAATATGAAGAAACAAGAATTCAAAAAAATGAGGAGAGACTTAGGAACCTCCAGGACATCTTTAAACGCTCCAACATCCAAATTATAGGGGTACCAGAATGGGGAAAGGAACAGCCACCAGTGGAAAACTTATTTGAACAAATAATAAAGGAGAATTTCCCCAATCTGGCAAAGGAAATAGACTTCCAGGAAATCCAGGAAGCTCAGAGAGTCCCAAAGAAGTTGGACCCAAGAAGAAACACACCAAGGCACATCATCATTACACTAGCCAAGATTAAAATGAAGGAGAGAATCCTAGAAGCAGCAAGAGATAAGGGACAGTCACCTACAAAAGAGTTCCCATCAGACTGTCAGCGGATTTCTCAAAAGAGACCTTCCAGGCAAGAAGGGGCTGGAAAGAGGTATTCCAAGTCATGAAATCCAAAGACCTACAACCAAGATTGCTCTATCCAGCAAAACTTTCATTTAGAATAGAAGGACAGATAAAGTGCTTCTCAGATAAGATCAAATTCAAGGAGTTCATCATCACCAAGCCCTTATTATATGAAATGTTAAAGGGACTTATCTAAGAAAAAGAAGATAAAAAAGATGAACAGTGAAAGGACAGCAAACTCACAGTTATTAACAACCACATCTAAAACAAAAGCAAACTAAAAGGACAGCTACATCAGGAGCGGAAACACAGAAATGAAGATCTCATGGAGGGTTAGCAATAGGTGAGTGGGAGGAGGAGAAGGGGGGAGAAGATACGGAAAATAAGTAGCATAGATGGTAGGTAGAAAATAGATAGGGGAGGGCAAGAATAGTAGGGGAAATATAGAATCTAAAGAACTTGAGACATATGGTCATAAACTAAAGGAGGAAATGGTGGGGGGTGCAGGGTGGAGGGGAACGGAGGGGGGAATAGAACAACTGTAATGGCATAATCAATAAATAAAAGTTAAAATAATAATAATAAATTTTAAGAAAAGAGAAAAACAAGGAGGAAGAACTCACAGGGTAGAGCTGAATGAGTTTGATTTTAAAAATGGTTGAAGTGTCGAATTTTCACTTCTCCAAGGAGGACATACAGAAGATCCAGAGTCACATGAAGAGATGCTCAGTATCGTTAGCTATCAGAGAGATGCAAATTAAAACCACAATGAGATACCACTTTACACCAGTCAGGATGGCTATCATAAACAAAGCAACAAACAACAAATGTTGGAGAGGTTGTGGGGAAAAGGGGTCCTTAGTTCACTGTTGGTGGGATTGCAGACTGGTACAACCATTATGGAAAACAGTATGGAATTTTCTCAGAAAAATTAAAATCGACCTGCCTTTGACCCAGCAATTCCACTGCTAGGATTATATCCTAAGAATCCTAAAACATCAATATCAAAGAACCTATGCACCACAATGTTCATAGCAGCACAATTTACAATAGCCAAGAGTTGGAAGCAACCTAGGTGCCCATCAGTAAATGAATGGATCAAAGAATTGTGGTACATATACACAATGGAATTCTATGCAGCAGAGAGAAAGAAGGAGCTCCTACCCTTTGCAACAGCATGGATGGAACTGGAAAGCATTATGCTGAGTGAAATAGGCCAGGTGCTGAAAGACAAATACCATATGATCTCACCTTTAACAGGAAGCTAAACAACAAAACAAACAAGCAAGCAAAAAAAAAACAAAAAACAAAGACACTGAAATAGAGAACAAGGGGACAGTGACCAGAGGGGAGAGGGAAGGGAAGTTAAGGGGAAAAAAGGGGGAGGGATTTGGAGGAACAAATAGGAAGGACACAGGGACGAGAACTAAGGGGGTGGAAATGGGAGGGAGGTGGGGAGCAAGGGGT